GGGAAAAAAAAAACAAAAAAAAAAACTGACCTCTTTACCAGTTGGCAAAAGTCTTAATCCCTTTTTTTTTCTTTACTTTCTAAGTCTTTCTTCCTTGACTTTTCTTTCCCTTTTTTTTTTTTTTTTTTTATTTCACCCATTCTTTTGCCTTTATGTCAGTTTATGAGCCATTTCTCGATTTACGTGTGTCATCCTTCCACAGTGGTCATCAAAGAGCATCAAAGAAGAAGAACGCTCGCAATCGCAAAGTCATCGCAAAAACGAGACGGCAATTACACCGTCTCGCAATCGGCAAAGTCGTCGTAAAAATGAGACAGCAATTTACACTCTACACGAATAGCAAAAGAATCACATCGTCCGCAGCCAGAAGACCCGTGACATCGTCGCTGAGCTCAAGCTACTTTCCCAGAACAAATAGTCTCGATGTCCTACCACTGATTCCCTTTCACTCCCACACCTGACGACCGACGAACCTTTGTCGGAACAGTCAGACCGGCTCACAGGTATACCAACGAAAAGCATCAAGACACATTCCTTCTGGTACGCCAAAAGTACCTACCGGGCCCGAAATTCAGACCCAAGTAGTTGGAGGCCTGTACCCCAACTGGACCATCCCTCACTTCGGGCCGTTCTTTTTCTACCAGGTCTGTGTATACTCTGTACCGAGGTCTGTGTTTACACCACCCCCTCCTATTCACAAACAACCTTCTACGCACAGCAGTTCCGCAGCTAAACCAAAATTGTTCCCTATCCCTTGCAAAATTTCCGAATTGCGGCGCCACAAATAAACAGGCTTTCTGGAATCTGGATATACTTCCATTTACGCGGTTCCATAGCCAACGGTATAGAATGACAGTTCCAATGATCATCGGCGCGGTCCTGATGTGTGGAGTTTTGACGAATCCTGTGCAAGGCAACTTGTGGTTGCTTAGAATGACAGTTCCAATGATCATCGACGCGGATCTGATGTGTGGAGTTTTGACGAATCCTGTGTAAGAGAACTTGTGGATGCTTCCACCTTTTAGCTTTCTTTCCAGTCGACGAGTTGAAATCCAGTTATGGGAATTGTTTGCCCCCCTGAAATTCTGACGGAATGTTTGAAATGATGCCAAACCCGTCTCTTGAACGAAATCACATTCGCTTTTCGTCAGTTGATGGAACACCCAGTTATGGGAATTCGTAGCCCCCAACCTGGGGGCAACGATGACCAATGTCTCTTAATATACGTGAGCATATATAATATACGTTGGCAAAAGTAAGGCCCCGAATTCGCAGTCCGGGGATGCACGTTGCGCATACTAGTAATGATTTGAGTCTCCATCAGAGAAAGCGGTACTTAACCAGTGGGCTTGCCTACAAACAAGCGTGAATGAGGCAGATGGGTGACTTCTTTTTCGTAGCCTCCCTGCAATCTGCGCCCGAGGAACTCCCAGTTATGCTCATGCTCATCCATGCGTTTCAGCGTCAGATTCTCATCATAGCAGTTTTCGTACGTTGTCACGATCTCCTCCGCACAGGGCTTCGAAGCCGCACTCTTCCATTGTAGGCCATGGACAAGGTTTCAAGGAAGCATCATCGACAAAACACCTGCCCGCCACCTGTCTCTTCTGGCCTCCCAGCGTAATAAAAAAATTCCACTCCGACTTTGCACACATCACGCAGGTCAGCGGAGGGCTGGAAAGTTTTCCCATAGGAATCCCCAGGATCTGCCTGAGGATTATCCCAGCTCATCAGATCAATGCGCACGTGCTCACAAATGAACGTGAAAAGCAAGAAGCGATATGTATCCATGCTCTTGCGACAACTCAACTTGGCCCCTCTTCCCCTTGTCCTCACAAACACCCCACTGAACCCTCTTGATTCAAACCACCAGATGCACAATTCCACGGCGCGCTTCAAAATTGTCTCGTGCGGCAACCTACTGAACATATCTTTTATGTCGTAGGATGTCGATCGCTGACATCACTTGCACATTTTCTTACATCCCCGTCTCAGCCTTACTCGTTCATGGAGTTCAATCCACTCTCTCTTCATCAGATGCACAGCTTCGAGATTGAAGTGTCTGCTTTCGGCTACCCTTTAAAAAGCAGGCCATTCAATCCTTGAGCAACCTTCTTGCACAGGTCATTCCCCGGCTTGCTAAGTGTCGGGCAGATCGGGCGATACTTCGCCGTACTTCGCCATGTCTTTGTGCTTCGGAAGTGTGTATGCGTTTCTGAGCTTGCCGCTATTCTTCCACTTTCCGTACTTGTCAAACCCATGATCCTTGTATTCTCTATGCACCTTAAGTTAGCGATAATCCTCACTTCGTCCTCCTGCTGAATCTCATGCCCCTCATTGTTAACAAACGTACCTGCCATGCTTGCCGCATAGATTTCTGCACACCTAACCAGTGTCTTCCCCAGATTCCTATCCAGAGGAGTCCGTACAAGACCTGCCGACCTTTTTCTCATCTTCAAGACCAGGTTCATAGTCCCTTCTTTCCTCACCAATGTCCTATCCACGGAACTCCTGACCTCATCATCACTCACCAGTGTCACCACAGCTCCAGTCGTATCACCGTCCAACCAGTCGATGATACTGTCGTCGAATGCGCTCTTGATTTGCTCCCCAAGTCTTTTTCACAGACTTCCACCCAATCTCTCGGCATGTTCTTCGCATTCCGAGCGATTTCTGGACATTCATCCCAAGCTCTGAGTCGAAAATGGACGTATCCTTCCTTCCTTTGGGAAGGAGAAATTGGCACAATAGCACCTCACACAACCCCACTGGTCGCAAACGGGCGATGACTGTGGATCTTGTCTCCGATGTTTGGACCTCCTCGCGTCCACAGGACTCGAGATCGTTGCTTCATCATTGCTTTCACGGAGCCATCCATCCGCAATTCCACAATCTTTCTCTTCAGCAGCCTCGCCACCTTTAAGTTACCTTTCTTTACAGACTTACCTTCGTTATCACCCTTCGTTTGATATTCATGCCAAATTTCTCCATCACCGCGTCTACAATCATCTTCTTCGGCGAATCTTTGCCCTGTATCCACTTCTCTTTGTAGAAAAGTTTTTTTCCGCTGCGTCATATGATATCGAATTAACTCCCCGATCTTCAACACCCTCAACTTTCTCTGCTTCTTCTCGTCTTGTATTTAAACATCCCTACCAACTCGCTCGTCTTTGAACTTCGGTGCTTCCGGTGATGCGCGTAAAGAGGAAGTATAACAAACAGCGTATGTTCGCGCACTTCCCCACGTATAGTATAATATAAAATACGGGTTAACGGTAAGGATTGTGAGCTTGTTTAGGAAGTTAGCAAACTTGGGGTGGGAAAAAAAAAAAAAAAAAAAGGAGAAAAAAGGAAGGGTGGGAAAGGAAAAAGAGTTCGCGCTGGAATGTAACGGGGTATCTGTGTGTGGGATGACAACTGACGAGTAGTGCGTCGGGTATTTGCGGAAACGAGAGAGTGTGTCGGGTAGAGGACGAGACCATTGAGGAAATGTAAGAGGATGTTTGAGCAAATGTTTTTTGTCACTGACATGCTTATGATTCTTAGACCAGACACTTTCTTCACCATTCGTCTACCCTTATCTTTCTTCGCTGGATTCTCTCGTCCTGTTTTCTCGT